CGGGTTCAATCCCTGGTCAGGGAACTGAGATCCCCCAAGCCCCCCGGTGTGGCTGGGAAAAAAAAAAAAAAAAAAGGCCACCCTTCTGCCTCTCAGGGACCAGAGTCTATGGACAGATCTGGACCAAGTGGCACGGAATAGAGGGAAGTGTAGTCCCCCTGCCCAGTACCTCCCCAGGGAGCCTGAGACCTCCCTCTGCAGTGCCAGTATCCAGGTGCTGGAAGGACAGGAAGCCTGCAGGCGCCCTTCAGAGAGGTCCTGCCACAGAGGGCCAGATCAGCTAGAGAGGATCAGCTAGAGAGGGTGTCAGATCTGCTAGGGAGGATGAGGGACAGGCTGGAACCAGCAAGAGGGGGCATCAGGTAGGGTGGTGGAAGTCACCTGGGGAGGGGGGAGGGGTGACGTGGGGTCGGCAGGGGTGAGGCAGGTGGGCGCTGCCTGAGACTGGCTGGGCCCCCTAGATTCTGCCTGCATTTGCAGGGCAGCACCTGCACCAGACCCTGGTCTTCTGGAACCTTTCAGGGCGCAAGAACCTGGGAAACTCTTGGATTCTGATTAAGCAGGTGTGCCATAGAGCTTGAGAGGATGGAGCCCTGGGGATTGGGAGGTGCACCTCTGATTAAGAAACACGCATCTCGTCCCACGTCTCATGGTACCTCTGGGAAACTGAGGCCCAGAGAGGGGAAGGGACTTGCCAAGGCCATATAGTGAGTTGGTGGCCGCCTAAAACCTGGTGTCCAGACCATCCGTCTGAACCACAGGCCACCGTGGACTGCAGGCCCCAGCGTGGCTGCTTAATGGGGACAGTGACGGAATTCAGCGAGGTGGCCCCACCCCAGCCTGAGACCCAAGATGGTCCAACTCCAGATGGTCCCAGTTCCCCTGGGACACCACAGCCTGGGGTGGCACAGGCAACCAGCAGCCACCTCCTTCTAGCATGTGCTGATGCCACGGGCATGGCACTAGGCACTCACGGTAGGGAGGTGACTAGGTTTGGGAGCTGCTCCCAAGTCAGAGGCAGACACGCAGAAGGCTCCATGGAGGCCTCAGGAAGGAGAGTTTGGGACAGATGATCAGAGACTGGATGCTGTCACTTACATCCACCAGCCCCACCATGGCCATCTTTAGGGTCCACAGCCCTGGGCCAGCGCCTCTGACTTGTTTACATGTGGAGCCTCCTACAAAAATTCCTCCTCCCTGGCTCACAACCTGGGCTCCTCCTTCCTCCAGAGTCTCCTATTTCCCAGGGTCTTTATACCACATCGCAGATGCCAAGCTCTGGTTTTGCTTCAGCAGCGGAACAAACAATTGCCCCCTGGGCCCAGCCTGCCCTCATGCTGTGTCATTAAGACCCTTCTGGTGGGCTGTGTCAGTAACCTGTCCATCCACTCAGTCAAGCCCAATCCCCACCTATGCATCACACAGCTGCAAATCGTTTTTTTTTGTTTTTTTTTTTTTGTTTTTGGCCTTGAGAATGCAGGGATCTTAGTTCCCCGACCAGGGATGGAACCCGGTCCCCTGCGGTGGAAGTGCAGAGTCCTAACCACTGGACCGCTAGGGAATTCCCCAATATACAGCTGCAGATCTTTTTGATAAGTCTTACATATTCACATGAATTGAATTCAGCAGCAACACAACCCCTGCTCGTCCTGCTGTGTGCTGGGCTTGATACTAGGCTCTTTCATACACATAATCTCCTTTGAGTCTCATATCACAGTTGTCCCCTTTTGGCTCAGAGAGGTTAATCAATTTACCAGCGTCACACAGCTAGTAGGTGGCAGCAGTGGAGTTTGAACTTAGGACTTCTGGCTCTAAACCAGGGTTTCTTTCCATTGGGACACTGCCTGTCTACTAGTACCTGTGACCTGTCATCATTCACAGCAAATCAGATCTGGGTCATCACACATCAGGGTGACAGTAGCAACAATACTGATACCAATTCTCAGTTTCTGACTATTTACTGGGGACCAGGCACATTAGCTCATGTGACTCTCCCAGCAAGCCTGCAGGATCTTACATTTTACTTGTGACAGAATGAAGGCTCGTTGGCCACTAAGTGGCTCCCCTTAAGACTTAATTCTGTGTGGCTCAGAGTCTGGGAGTTCTGGGGAGGCCAGGAGCCCGCAGGCTACATGGTCTGGGAGGGTATAAGGAAACCTGCTGGGGAGACCCACCTGGGGGAGGAGGCTCTATCGTTAGCAAAGCAGACAGGTGAGTGGGAGCAGGAAGGTGGGCGAGTGGGGCGCGGGGCTGCTTAGGGAAGGATGCTGGAGAGATGGGCCTCAGCCGCTGGTGGGCCGGGAGCCTTGAGTGCTGAGAGGGGGACTTCAAACCTGACAGCAAGGCCTTCTCCGTGGGGGGTCAGGAGGCCAAGACACAGCGGCCCTGGCACCCGGCGTCAGCAACCCTTTCTCCCACCAGCCAAAGACAGCAGCATCTCCAAGCGCAAGAGAAAGCGGGTCTCCGAAGGGAATTCCATCTCATCTTCCTCCTCCTCTAACCCGGAGTCAGTGGCATCCACCAACCAGATCTCACTCGTGGTAAAGTTGCACAGACCTGGACCTGACTGCTCTTCTCTCTGGCTTTCAGCCGGCACTCGGGCAGGCTCGTCTACTCTGGAGCGTGGGTCTGGGGTGCGGGGAGATGCTGGGCACTGAGTAGAGTCTGCAGATGCATCTGCCTGCCCTACCCATGAGACAGTCCACCCCCCTCTCATCAGGTGCCCACAGGTGTCCGGGGAAGGAGTTCACACTCCCACTGTGCAGATGGGCAAGCTGAGGCCGAGGAGAGGGAAGGGACCTGACCACCCACTCGGCAGGACCTCAAGCAGACTCCTGGGTTCCCGGGGCAATATGCTAGACTAATCTCTGTGCTCACATCACATGCTCTGAGCCACAGCCCTGTGAGGTGTTCCCTGCAGTTATGTAGACAAGGAAAACCAGGGTCAGAGGCCGCATGACTCTGTGGCCTCATGGCTGGTCAGTGGTGGATGGAGACCCCACCTCCAAAGCTCCACCTGTTCTGCCATGTGGCTGGATTTTTCTCTCCCACCCACGAGGAAAACCTCATTAAGGGCACACACTTGAGGGTTCTTTCTGATTTCAAAATATTAGCTTTGAAATCCTGAGTCCAAATGGGGAGAATATTGGAAGACAGTTGAAAATGACTTTAGGATTTGTTTATCCTTGGACCCCTTCCTGCTAAACCCCGAAGCTCAGGCTTTGCCTCTGTTCCTGCCAGGGTGCTCACAGAGGGTCCCTAGCCCCTCGCACCACCCAGAGAGACAGGACAGCTGCTTTGGAGCCTGAGGCCTGGAGGGGGCTGAGTTGATGGTGGTGACCAGCAGTTCTGAGCCAATCCCCAATTCCCTCCCCACATGTCTGCTCACATGGTTAGCCCCCGGGACACAGGTGGGAATAGGTCAGAAGACTCCAGCCCAGGCCCCGTGGCCACTGGTGAACTGCGTGACCTTAGACAGGTCACGTCCCGTCTCTGGGCATTCCATGGCCTCAAAATAAATAGCATCTGAGGAAGCCCTTCAGAAAGCAGCGCTGAGTGTTCTGGTATGCTCTCCACGTCACCTGGAGTCCTAACCCGGGCTCTCTGTCCCCCTCTTTCTAGCAATGGCCAATGTACATGGTGGACTATGCCGGCCTGAACGTGCAGCTCCCGGGACCTCTGAATTACTAGACCTCAGTGCTGAATCAGGACCTCACTCAGAAAGACTAAAGGAAATGTAATTTATGTACAAAGTGTATATTCGGATATGTATCGATGCCTTTTAGTTTTTCCAATGATTTTTACACTATATTCCTGCCGGCAAGGCCTTTTTAAATAAGTAAAAAAAAAAAAAAAAATTGCCTTTGTTCCTGTTGCGTGTTCTCTCTTGGAATTTGTGGCTGCAGCTGTCACTGGAACAAGGTCAGGAAACCCAGCTCAGGTGGCCTGCTCGGGCCCTCCGTCCTTGCCAGGGCAGAGGCGGTGGCCCTGACCACGGGGCCCTGGGTACAGACTCCACTCATTTGGCTGCTGCTGGGGTCACATGACCTCAGGATGCGGCATCACGGAAGGCAAAGTGCTAGGCTGACCCCCCTGGCCTCAGGGAGCATTCAGCGTGGTAAGGAGCCGTCTTGTCCTTGCCCCAGTAACTCAGGTGAAGTCAGAAAAGTCAGAAAAGGGGACTTCCCTGGTGGCACAGTGATTAAGATTCCAAGCTCCCAATGCAGGGGTCAAGTATGATAAGCAAGTATGGAATCTCCATAGCTGGAGAGAAGGCATCTTGGCAAAGGGGCTTTGGGTTGGGCCTAGAGGGCTGGGGTGGGTTTTTTTGTGTGTGTTTTTCTTTAACATCTTTATTGGAGTATAATTGCTTTGCAATGGTGTGTTAGTTTCTGCTGTACAACAAAGCGAACAGCTATACATATACATATATCCCCATATCTCCTCCCTCTTGCATCTCCCTCTCACCCTCCCTATCCCACCCCTTTAGGTGGTCGGAGGGAGGGATGAACTTTGAGGGGTAGTGAGGCAGCTTTTGGCAGGAAAGAGCTCTCTGCCTGAGGCCCTTTTGTCTTGCCAGTAACCTAGCGCACCTTTCAGATCTTTTTTTTTTTTACCATCTTTATCGGAGTATAATTGCCTTACGATGGTGTGTTAGTTTCTGCTTTATAACAAAGTGAATCAGTTATACATATATACGTATGTTCCCATAGCTCTTCCCTCTTGCGTCTCCCACCCTCCCTATCCCACCCACCCCCAGGTGGTCACAAAGCACAGAGCTCATCTCCCTGTGCAATGCGGCTGCTTCCCACTAGCTGTCTATTTACATTTGGTAGCATATATATGTCCATGCCACTCTCTCACTTCATCCCAGCTTACCTTCCCCCTCCCCGTGTCCTCAAGTCCATTCTCTACGTCTGAGTCTTTATTCCTGTCCTGCCCCTAGGTTCTTCAGAACCATTTATTTTTTTAAGATTCCATATATATGTGTTAGCATACGGTATTTGTTTTTCTCTTAAAAATATGGAATACTTCACAACTTTGCGTGTCATCCTTGCGCAGGGGCCATGCTAATCTCTGTATCGTTCCAATTTTAGTGTATGTGCTGCTGAAGCCAGCACCTGGGGTGGGTTTTTGTTAGAGTTCTGGGTACTGAAGCAGAGTGATGGGTCACAGCTGCTTCTCAGAAAGACCTCTTTGGTGGCAGGTGGAAAGGTGAAGGAAAGGATGAGACCAGAGGCAGAAAGACAAGTCAAAAGGGCCTGGCGGTAGTCCAGGCCTGGCACCCAGTGGCCGCTCATTCAGTCCTGGTGGGGAAGGCAGGGCGCCCTTACCTAGCGCAGAATCAGGAAATGGTCCTAGAAGCACATTAGGAGTTGGTGGGACAAAGCGGGGAGGGCTGGCGCAAGACGGTGGGACAAAGCAGGGGAGAGCCGCACGTGCAAAGGCAGGGAGGCCCGGACTGAGAACCTGGAAGTTGCAGGAACAAGGAGTCACTGGAGCAGAGGACTCAAGGAGAGCCGCTGGAAGTGTGACAGATAGGTGGGTGTGTTCCCAGCAGGCTGTTCCCTGCACATGGTGCTGTGATCGAGAGGTGGGCGGGGGCAGAAATGCAGCCTGGGTTCTGCTGGCCCAGCCTTGCACGTTGCATCCTGTTCTCCCTGGCCCTGGTGGAAGACCTTGTGGGCCGGGTAAAGGTGATGGGGTATGGTGGTGAGAGCCACAGTACGGAGTACCAGGGGAGAACCAAGACCAGATCTGCATTTTGGAAGGGTCCACTTCCAGCAGACAGGAAACTTCAGACAAGAGAGAAGCTGGAGGCCATGTGGGAGGCTCTTGTAGTTGTTCCAGCGAGAGCTGGCAGGGGTTTGAGCCAGGTGGAGAATAACAGGGATGTCAGCCAACAGGACTTGGAGGTCAATTGGATGCAAGTGCTGGGGTGTAGGAGTCAGGGTGACCACAGGGTCCAGCCAAGGTCCAGCAGGAAGCCTACAGCTTGGAGGAACTGAGTCCTGAATCAGCTAAGTACACGATCCAAACAGTTTAGGAGCTTCTGCCAGCCCTCTGGGTTAGCCCGGTGCCCAGAGCTGGGAGGGAAGGCCCTGTCTCAGCCTTCCAGACTCTGCTTCCTCCTAGAAAGATGCAAGAAGCCAGAACCACCAGCCTGGTATGACCCACCCAAACTTGTCCTCTTTCTGCCACATGCCAGTGGCCCCAGGACCTGCCAGGGCTCTCCACTCCATCCTCAGTCCCCTGGCCCTGGGCCCAGCTGGCCTTGTAATCTCCAGGATCAGGGGGAGGGGCGACCCCCTATACTGACCCCCCCCCCCTCGCAAGGCATAAACTGCCTAAGAGATCAAGGACATCGTTGCAGCTGCCACCTTGCCTTCAGCCCCCTTCTCTTGCCACCCAGCCTTCCCCCATCTCATCCTGTCTCTCCCTGGATTAAAAAACCCCACTGCTTTCCCTCCCCCGCAGCACTGAGCGCCAACTTCTTGGCGCTCCCGGTCTGTCCCCCTCCTCTGCCTCTCATCCCACCGATCTGTCCCCTTTCTTCTCTGCGTCAGCCACAGAGCAGTGAGCGGCTGCAGCCTTGGCACCGGCCTCCTCGCGGCCTGGCCGGCCTGGGACTCGGGTCCACCTGGCGCCCCCGCACCCCAGCTGGCGCCTCCCGGTTGTCTAGACCGACCAGGGCCGCCCCGCCCCCGGGCTCAGATCTGCGGCCAGAGCCGGAAGTGGCTCCGGCCCCGGGCGGGCGGGGCTCCGCGTGCCCGAGACGGTGCCGCCGCCGACTGCGCGGAGAGGCGGGGAGCCCCGGGGAAGGGCGCTGGAACCCCGAAACACCAGCGCTGCGGACTGCAGAGTCTCTGCATCTGTCATCTTTCGGACGTGTGCAAATAGGTAGGTTGGTGCAGCAAACCTTCGCGCCTTGTTGCCGGACTTCATTTCATAAAAGCATAAGGGGGACCCCCCCCAAGTCAAAGCTTTTGAACCAAGAGGTGACCTGTGTCCGTTTCCCCTCCTGACCCGGGCGCTCCGGGCTTTGGGAGGTGTGTCCGGGCTGAGTACGGAGGATGTGCTTGGGGGCTGCTGGCCACCTCCTCTCCACCCCCCACCCCGCCTGCTCGCTTTGCCCAACACAGTGTGCCCAGCCAGCACCCCCGGATACGCTGGGGGATGCCTTACCAAGTATGTCCTCCCAAGCATCCCCTGCTTTCTGCAAGAGAGCCAGATGCTGTTTATGCAACCTCTCCAGAATCTCAGTGTACTGTACTTTTTAAAGTGATTTGATTCAAAGCACTCATTCTTTAATTAAACTTCATTTAGCTGCCATCTGTCTGGGTTGAAAATTGGCTTCGTGTTTTGCAACTCTAAATGAGAATTGTTATTGGATTTGTAAACACATGCACCAAAAAGAAAAAAAAATCACAAAACACTTTCAAAAGTAATAAATGAGGAATGTGCAGAAGCATGTTGGGAGCTGCATCTTAGGCGTTCTAATTGCTGGGGAATGTATTCTGGTGGGTACATAATCATTTTATATACAAATCTTTGTATAGAAATCTGGTATCAATGAAAAGATCAAGATTATAGAAAATGCCGGAATTATATCTGACTGAAAACAGTAATAAAGCAATAATCAGAGCAGGGACAAAGCGAGGGTGAGGCCGGAGGGGGGCGGGGAGCAGCTCTCATGCACCTGTTCCCCTGCAGGGAGCCTCCCTCACCTGCCCAGCTGCTTCCCTTCTGCTAAAAAAGGAGGAGGGTGAGCCTGAGCTCTACTGGCAGGGGCTTCACAACAACCCTTCTAGATACCGTTTTAAGTAAGGAGTCAAAGCTTTATTAAGGCTCAGCTGCTGACCTCCAAGGTGTAGGGTCTGCTCCCTCCCACCTGGGCCAGGCAGAGAAGGAGAAAGAAGAGAAAAGATGGAGAGGGATGGTAGCACCTCTTTGAAGCCTCGTGTAGTGGTTCCTCAGGGAGAATGGTATTAAGGATTTTTCGGTGGGGAAACTGAGGCACGAAGACAGTGGAGGAGCAGAGCTGGAGGCTGGTGGTCGCAGGATGGGCAGCTCTTGGTGTCAGAGTTTCTGGTTGATCGAGTTTGGAGGACGCAGAAGCGGGAAGGGGGGTAGAGGTTGACGTGTGTGGATTGAAGCAGGACCCCAACATCCCAAAGACTCTCTTTGAGTGATCTGGCCTCAGCCCCGTGCTCCCCTGATCTCATCTCCCGGGGGCCGTCTCCCCAGCACTGCCCTTCTGTCACACGGGGTTGGGGGTCCTTCTTTCATTTCCTCAAAGAGGCCTCTCCTTCCCAACTCACGTGGCAGCGCCTTCCTGTTTTACTTTCCACTGAAATGTCCCCTCCACAGAGGCCTCTCCAAACCATCCAGTCTAAAGCAGAAATACCCTCCACCTCATAATTTTTAAATTTCACCTCCTTTAAAAAAAAATACCATGTTGGGCTTCCCTGGTGGCGCAGTGGTTGAGAGTCTGCCTGCCGATGCAGGGGACACGGGTTCGTGCCCCGGTCCGGGAAGATCCCACATGCCGCAGAGCGGCTGGGCCTGGGAGCCATGGCTGCTGAGCCTGCCCGTCTGGAGCCTGTGCTCCGCAACTGGAGAGGCCACAACAGTGAGAGGCCCGCGTACTGTAAAAAAAATAAAAAATAAAACTAAAATAAAATAAAACCATGTTATTACTGCACTCATCTCCACAGGGGGCGCCCCTCTTCCCCCCGGGGGGAAGAAATTGAGCCTTCCCTTAACTCTTTTTTTTTTTTTTTTTTTTTTTGGCTGCACCACTCAGCTTGCAGGATCTTAGTTCCCCGACCAGGGATCGAACCCGAG